TAAATGGTGGCGCATGTTTCACATTATCAAAAGATCATTGAAAATAATTATCTTTTGATGCATCATTTCACTTAATTTACCTTTTGTTATATAACGAGCTCCGAAGATAAATAACTGAAAAAACGACACAGTTAATGTTTTCGTTAGTTCTATCGCCTCATTATTGTGATTGTATCGCCTTGTCGCTTCGAACTCGAACGCAATTTTGCGATGTTTTCTCTCCGTCACATGTAACAGTACATTGTACACCAAATTTAAGTATTGCTAGTCGTAAGGATCGACCAAATGTCAATCATAAAATTCGGATTTTTTTATCATTGGAAACAATCCCAAACGCTACGATTTCCTCTTTAATTAAGTCAATTATTAATTATTTTTTTGAAAATATTGTTTGACCACTCTGTCATTTTTTTATTTATTTTTTATCTGAACAACATTATCGTTTACAGTTTAGGTAATCAGTGGTTTGTAACTCAATCAATACGATGAAGTGATTATATTAATCACAAGAAAATATTTTTGGAATGACGAGAAAAAAATGTCGTGAATAAAAAATAACTCACTCGACAACAAAACTACTGTTCCAGAAGCTATGTTCGCAGAATTGCATATACAATGTTTTGTGTTCGAATTATCTGTTCACATTTTAACTGCATACATTTGGGGTGATTATAATATTATATATATGTGTTTCACAGTAATATTGTATATGAATTCTGCCTGTACGCAATATTATAAAATTATTACGTTATCTATTAAATATAGATTCTGTGTGTTGATAGTAATATTTGTATATAGGTTCTCTGTGTTAGCGTTATTAATTAAATATAGATTCCGTGTGTTGATAGTAATATTTATATATGGGTGCTTTGTGTTAGCGTTATTAATTAGATATAGATTATATGTGTTGATAGCACTTTTTATATACGGGTTCTCTGTGTTAGCGTTATTAATTAAATATAGATTCCGTGTGTTGACAGTACTTTTTACATATGGACTATGCGGTCACATTACTATATATTCGGTGTGTTTAAAATACTTAATCATGAGTGAGTTCGCAAAGAAAATTAAAAATAACCAGCCTTACAAAGTCATTGAATCATATTTTATTCTCAAAAAACACCCAGGAGCATTTTCTCAAGTTTATATACATCACATCCCAGCCACTTATCATGTCCAACTACACACACTGATAGACTTAGTCCTCATGCTTCCTACATTCCATTGTATGGCTGTTAATATCACTGTGTATGTATGAGCAGTAATAAACAGTTACAATGCATCTTCTGTCCATTATGGTCATAACATTGTATCGCTGTCTTAGAACCACATGACAGCCGAAATCAGCAACTGATATTAGGTATCCACGGTCAATACATCTTCTTATGTTCTTAATCCACTGTATGGCTACCAATACACATTCCTATGTTCTCAATCCACTGTATGGCTACCTATACACCTTCTTATGTTCTCAATCCACCGTATGGCTACCAATACACAATATTATGTTCTCAATCCACCGTATGGCTACCAATACACAATATTATGTTCTCAATCCACTTATGGCTACCAATACACCTTCTTATGTTCTCAATCCACCGTATGGCTACCAATACACAATATTATGTTCTCAATCCACCGTATGGCTACCAATACACAATATTATGTTCTCAATCCACTTATGGCTACCAATACACCTTCTTATGTTCTCAATCCACCGTATGGCTACCAATACACAATATTATGTTCTCAATCCACCGTATGGCTACCAATACACAATATTATGTTCTCAATCCACTTATGGCTACCAATACACCTTCTTATGTTCTCAATCCACCGTATGGCTACCAATACACAATATTATGTTCTCAATCCACCGTATGGCTACCAATACACAATATCATGTTCTCAATCCACTTATGGCTATAAATACACCTTCTCATGTTCTCAATCCACTTATGGCTACCAATACCCCTTCTTATGTTCTCAATCAACTGTATGGCTACCAATACACCTTCTTATGTTCTCAATCCACATATGGCTACCAATACACCTTATGTTCTCAATCCACCTATGGCTACCAATACACCTTCTTGTGTTCTCAATCGTCCGTATGGCTACCAATACACCTTCTTATGTTCTCAATCCACCGTATGGCTACCAATACACAATTTTATGTTCTCAATCCACCTATGGCTACAATACACAATATCATGTTCTCAATCCACTTATGGCTATTAATACGCCTTCTCATGTTCTCAATCCACTTATGGCTACCAATACACCTTCTTATGTTCTCAATCCACTTATGGCTACCAATACACCTTCTTATGTTCTCAATCCACCTATGGCTACCAATACACCTTATGTTCTCAATCCACCGTATGGCTACCAATACACAATATCATGTTCTCAATCCACCGTATGGCTACCAATACACCTTCTTATGTTCTCAATCCACATATGGCTACCAATACACCTTCTGTTCTCAATCCACCGTATGGCTACCAATACACAATATCATGTTCTCAATCCACCGTATGGCTACCAATACACCTTCTTATGTTCTCAATCCACATATGGCTACCAATACACCTTCTTATGTTCTCAATCCACTTATGGCTACCAATACACCTTCTTATGTTCTCAATCCACTGTATGGCTACCAATACACCTTATGTTCTCAATCCACCGTATGGCTACCAATACACCTTCCTATGTTCTCAATCCACCTATGGCTCCCAATACACCTTCTTATGCTCTCAATCCACCGTATTGCTACCAATACATCTTCCTATGTTCTCAATCCACCTATGGCTACCAATATACCTTATGTTCTCAATCCACCTATGGCTACCAATACACCTTATGTTCTCAATCCACCGTATGGCTACCAATACATCTTCCTATGTTATCAATCCACCTATGGCTACCAATACACCTTCTTATGTTCTCAATCCACCGTATGGCTACCAATCCACATTATTATGTTCTCAATCCACCTATGGCTACCAATTCACAATATCATGTTCTCAATCCACTTATGGCTATTAATACACCTTCTCATGTTCTCAATCCACTTATGGCTACCAATACACCTTCTTATGTTCTTAATCCACCTATGGCTACCAATACACCGTCTTATGTTCTCAATCCACCGTATGGCTACCAATACACAATATTATGTTCTCAATCCACTTATGGCTACCAATACACCTTCTTATGTTCTCAATCCACTGTATGGCTACCAATACACCTTCTTATGTTCTCAATCCACTGTATGGCTACCAATACACCTTCTTATATTCTCAATCCACCGTACGGCTACCAATACACATTATTATGTTCTCAATCCATTGTATGGCTACCAATACACATTATTGTGTTCTCAATCCACCTATGGCTACCAATACATCTTTTGTTTTGTTCTAGATTCACATATGGCTAACAATACACATTCCTATGTTATCAATCCACTGTATGGCTACCAATACACCTTATGTTCTCAATCCACCGTATGGCTACCAATACCCCTTCCTATGTTCTCAATCCACCTATGGCTACCAATACACCTTCTTATGTTCTCAATCCACCGTATGGCTACCAATACATCTTCATATGTTCTCAATCCACCTATGGCTACCAATATACCTTATGTTCTCAATCCACCTATGGTTACCAACACAACTTATGTTCTCAATCCACCGTATGGCTACCAATACATCTTCCTATGTTATCAATCCACCTATGGCTCCCAATACACCTTCTTTTGTTCTCAATCCACCGTATGGCTACCAATACACATTATTATGTTCTCAATCCACCTATGGCTACCAATACACAATATCATGTTCTCAATCCACTTATGGCTATTAATACACCTTCTTATGTTCTCAATCTACTGTAAGGCTACCAATACACCTTCCTATGTTATCAATCCACCTATGGCTCCCAATACACCTTCTTATGTTCTCAATCCACCGTATGGCTACCAATCCACATTATTATGTTCTCAATCCACCTATGGCAACCAATACACAATATCATGTTCTCAATCCACTTATGTCTATTAATACACCTTCTTATGTTCTCAGTCCACTTATGGCTACCAATACACCTTCTTATGTTCTCAATCCACTGTATGGCTACCAATACACCTTCTTATGTTCTCAATCTACTGTATGGCTACAAATACACCTTCCTATGTTCTTAATCCATTTTATTACTGTCGGTACACTTCAAGCTGTTCTTAATTCATTGTATAACTCTGATCACAATTTATGATGTTTTAAATCCATTGTATGACAGGTTAGTGTTTCCACTGTTTGATGGTATATACAATGTATGACTTTACGAACCCTCTATGGGCTGCTAACCATAATGTCTTTCCTTCGGATAAATACCGCATACTACGGTATGTACTTCTTTACTTGAATTATAAACATAGAACTTGTTGTTCAACTCCATTTGCCTGAGTGGAGTGTACTTTAGAGAGAGAGTTGGTTAGTACGGGTTTTTCTATGCAGTGGTATAGAATTTATATGTCACTTTGTTTGAGCCGTTTGAACTTCATAATTATAGCAAGGTATTTATAGAAATCCTAATACACACGCACACCAAAACCCTGACCCACACCCTGACCCACAAGCACACTCATCCCACCACACACACACTCGCAGGGAGGTACAAAAGGGAACAACTTGTTAAGGTGCCCGAGGGAGGCAGCTCCATTCTCCTGATTGTGTTAATATAGAATCATATGTATATTATCCCTTGAAGTTGAAAGCGCTCAAGAGTTATACAAACGTTTTATGATACAAATATAACATTTTATATCCAAAGAATGACTGTTTTTACTCCTAAAATGTAAATAAATCTATGCCTTAATTCAGTGTTTGAAAATACATGACTACTATTGACAAACCCACTGAGTTTATTGAATTTATCCCTGTATTATATATATTATGTAACAGTCTAAAACGACGCTTCGATGGGTTTAAATCACGTTTTAAATATTTCACCTGTATTAAAACCTATAACCAAAATGACAGCCTACAACCACTATCTGGTAACATAAACACAATATGTAAGCCTTTATATATACAGCCTTTAGCAGCCTATGCATGTACACCCTATAACATCCTATACATTTACACTCTATAACAGCCTATACATGTACATACTATAACAGCCTTAACAAGTACATATTATCACAGCCTATACATGTACACTCTATAACAGCCTATACATGTACATACTATAACAGCCTTAACATGTAACCCTATAACAGCCTACACATGCACACCCTATAACAGCCTATATAGCAGTTTCGTTAGTGGTTTTATGACTGCATGCATTTACGTTTGTCCTTGAGCAATAAAGGTGTTGACTGTGGTCTGAAACGTTGGACGTATTTGAGCCTGACCGCTGGCACACCATCCTATATACAATGTTACGGAACTTTTGACCAGTGGCACAATACAGAAAGAAATTCATGGAATGGTTTAAATACATGAGCAACTCAGCTATTGTTCTGACTAACAAGCACTTGGCCAATATGGCGGCGTCATTTTTGAAGTCATCCTGCCAGACACGAGTCACAATCATGACGATGTTCATGGGTAACGTAGTGAGTAAAAACGTGAACGATATGGTTAACAACATCACTGTTAGTTTAGTGTTACTATCTTTCGTACAACGACGGCTCTCAGCTTTCATCAGGGAGCCATTTTGTAGTACATCCCGACCGTATGTCGCTTTTATAACCTGCCGAATTATCATAATATTTAACATAACGATTATTAGTGTAGGCGAGAAGGAATAAAACAAGGCATCTATCCAAGGCCATATCACATCCACTAGCAGCTTGTGCGATAAGGCACCTTCACACTTATAAACAATTTTGTTGTTGTAAATTTCTTCATTCAAATCCACTGTCCATAATAAATGTATGTTTATGGTTAGGAAAAGCAATGCTAATAAACACACGACTTTCCTGGCTCTGGGAATATTACAGAAGTATGACGCTCTCAGTGGATGACAAACCACTATGTAACGCTCTATCGTAACCGCGACTATCAACCAAACGGAATATTGACTCGTACTATAGCCAAGTACCGCTATCAGTTTACACAACAATCGGGATTCCGTTTGTAAATCAACGTGAGTGATCTCCCCTAGCCACTTCAGGAATAAACCATTTAGCAAAACAAACGAATCAGCAATAGACAGAGCAGCCAGGAATGTATTTGTAGACATTCGGGTCATAGTTTTGTGCCGGAGAATCAAAAATGATAGAACATTTCCAACAGTTCCAAGAAAGAGTAACACTGGTGGCATGTATATCGCCATTGTGGTATGAATTCGGTACTCCTTGTACTGAATTAGGTCCTCCTGATTGAAGGTATGTTGGGGCTCGGGTATGTAGCCAGCTAACTGTAGGAGGCCCCATATCTGTTCATGGCTTAGATCCTCGACCGAGATGGACACATTGTTGCTATCGAATAACTGATGTAAGATTGCCGATATCACGGAGAAGTTGGCTTTGTAAATATCCACCCCCTCGTCCATTTAGGCATCTGAAACTGAAAAAAGAGAAATTATTAACAAATCTGATCAATATCGATTTAAGATGAAATATCAACAGTGTATTGGCATTACCTAGAGGATATAGAGGTCCCCAGTAACACCACATATGTTTCAGGAGTGAGGCTTATATTATGATATGTTCACGAGTGTGCAGCACGAGTGAAAGATATCTGGTATTACTGAAGACACTGTTAGATATTCTGTTTATGATATTTTTTTCTCTCGAAAACCTACATATCATAATGTAATTATTTAAAACAAAAAATTGCCGTCATCAAATCAGATCACTACGCGTTGTTACTAAGCGCCGAATCTAAAATGGTGATGAGTGGAGAAAATGCAGAGTTGTCGTGTCACCACTGATCCTGATGGTCAAATATCAACACCACATTTGTCAGTTGTACTTAATCACCATCACTATCAGGGATAACCCTGGTTCTCTTATACTTTCTGCCAACAGCTTAGCCTTACTTAGGACTTGGACACGCTGACACCATGTTTAATTTGACATGAGTTTCCTCCGATCAAACAGTTATAATTGCTTACCTGTATAGTCTGTTTACTATGCACGTTAACTGTATAATTAATCGTTGTGTTTCCCTCAGAGAATGGTTCCCCAATGATAGGTAACAGATCGGATGTCTCAGACGTATTTTCTCGAGGCCTGTATATCGTCAAACTAACAAGGCTCTGACCATATGGGCCACTTGTATTTTGTTTTTCATGGTAGTTTGTAAGCAGCGTTTTAATTGGTCAATTCAGAACTCCTTAGTGAAAAATACAACTTTTATAGAATGAATAATTTTTAATATTAGGTATAAATGTAATATTAATACTTTTATGCAAGCAAACATACAACAGAATATCTCACTAAAATGTAAGGTTAACACACAATAACATAGGTACGGAAACATGATATACATGGTCACACTATAATGTAAGATAAACATGACATAAAGGGTCACACTTTTATATAAGTGAACACGCTAATTGTCAGTCTGGCAACAGTTGAACACCCTTTACACAATTTAAAATAGTGAAAACAATTACCAATAGTTTTGCTTTTAAGTAAATGTTCCCGCTGGTAGGTTTGATAATTTTGCTTATTGAGTGATTATAAATTATATTATCATGTTTTCGATATTATTTATCTTTTATTTTTCCAGTTAAATAAGTCGAAAATCAAATTAATGCTTGCATGAAGCACATGTAATTCGGATTTGTCATGTACCTGAGTGTCGACATATTAACCCAAAACATTGAAACTGCAATGCTGAACTATCTCTGTAATAAGTGTAGGTGAAATGTTGTGTGCATTTACCCTGTATGTGATGTTAACCTGTTAACAGACAGTTGTGTACTGATAAGTACATGACAAGTTTAGGACAGACGTGCGCTGACAGGAGTCAAACAAAGTAAACATTAAATATGGTGTGCGTCTAAAATAATATTTTAAATAATATTAAAGCGTAAACGAGACCGTATTTTGATTTTAAATTCATGAAGCTTTGGTAAAAATGATTAAAGGAAAACAATATTAGCACGAACAATAGAGCAAGACGTTTTGGAAAGGCAGTTTACTCATACGCCGTCGACGACATCCGCCAAGTATGTGGATGCAACATACCTTAGTGCACACTAATAGAAAAAACCTGATATGTATACATTCATGTCGCAACAGAAATACAACATTTCCCAATGAGATCGTGATGGCTGCCATAAAACTTAGTCAATAGTCAATATTAACCGCATTTCTGTAAACAGTTTGTCTGTTTCCAATCGACGTCCATCATATAAATCATGACATTCTAGGCAAACTTGCAAACAGCGTAGGATGGAAAGGTTTAACGTTATGATCAACAAAAGAGAAAAGTTTATGATTGGAGAATTGAAATCGACGCGCTCATCATACATCTTTGTATTAAGTCATTGAACTTTTTGTAAGTTAAGGTCAAGGTCAGAATCTGAAGTGTCCTTCATTGGTCAGGAGAGTTGTAAAACCGTTGTGTTGAACTAATTTCTTTTTCATTTGTTACATAATCTACATTTTGAAAATAGTGAAATTGAAGGACTTATCAAGGTTACCTGTCCTTTTAAGTCTTCCATAAATCCATTCTCATATAAACACTAACAGTAGAAAACGAAGGCTAATGGAAGGTTTGGGGGTTGACAGAAAGGAAGAATAAAATGTTCTGATAGAAGTATTTTTAGGGAAAGAATGTCCAAGATTGATCAAAATATCTTATGAGTTCTGCAGAATTGCCATTCCATTTATTACACTTCTCGATCATAGAGTTAGGACTGTAATCACGATTTCACGGCACTAGGAATGGCGGTAAGAAGTTTGGCAAGAAGATAGAATAGCCGGTGGTTAACTTTGTTAGTCCAAAAGAAACGATTCATGTACGCACTGTTTTCATAAATCGGTATTTTAAAAACATGCAATGCAGATACATGATAAGTACTTATATATCCGAATACTCACTATGTGCACGTCTAGCAAAGAACAATTCTTTCTGTTATTAAAAACAATACTCTGTTCCAGCTGAACTGCTTTCAGGTATTCCAGAAAAATCACACCCCTTTTGTTCCAGTAGATCACACTCCTTTTGTTCCTGTAGATCACACTCCTTTTGTTCCTGTAGATCACACTCCTTTTGTTCCAGTAGATCACATTCCTTTTGTTCTAACAGAATCATGTTCCTTCTGTTCCAGTAGAATAGGCTCCTTCTGTTTTAGTAGAATCACATTCCTTTTGCTAATACAGCAATGCTTTTTGATACTTTCTGTTGAATCACGTTTCTTCTGTTGATACAAAAAAAAAGATTTGTTCAATAGACAACCAGTCGAATAGAATTCCGTTTGTTCACTCAAAAACATTCCTTTTGAGATAAAAGGAGATGATGTGTGCTGACAAAATAAGTGATGACACTGTATCACTAAGTGTACGTGGTATGTATGGCATGGATGTTAGTATACAATCAATGTCCAGGTATAAAGCACTGTGGCCGTCACAGCTGCTATGGCCGTAGTTAATTGATGCTTCAATACGTTGTTTGTATATAATAAGCGCAGTTTCCCGAGGTTTGCCGTAACCTTCAACTTGTAAGGCACTGTTTGCATGGATTTTTAGTTGAAATAAGATTTATGTATTGTATCTGTTGTAAATTGGTAGCGTCTTTAAGGTTCGATAGACACGTACCTATCTCCCTTCGTTGTATTTCTACATATGTTCATTGTTTTGATTTTTATCATTACTGATGTGTCTTAATTGGATGAAGTGGCTATATGATGCAGTAACAATTACTCTCCTGGGGTTCCTTGCTTTCCTTTTCGTATTTCCAATAGTAATCTTATATAAAGTTAATTTGTCACCCAAGAGAAATACCCTATTACGACATTCACTCCCCAGTCCCTGCAGGTAGGGCGTACGAATTGTACCTGCTGCACCCATTGCATGATCGTAAGAGGCGACTCAATTTGGGATCTGATCTTTTCTCTACTTTCTAAACAATCTTCTACTTCCTAATGTCTCCCTTGAAAATGCATCACTTTTGGCCTTTAGTTGAGCGTTCGCCCCTGTGAGGAAGGCTTTGGGTTCTGTCTCCTGGCCGGGACATACCAGAGTCTGTAAAAATGGTAGTTTCTACTCCTCCTTAACGCTCAGCAATTCAGGAGTGGGACGACTCGTTCGCCCGTTGTCAGTATAATGTGACCGGATGGGGTGTCCTTTTGGGTGTCTTCGGCAGTATGTTTTCGTGATGTAGCACTATAAAGTCGGCATCAGTTCTGCGCTATCACAAGGAGACAAACACGAACATATCGCAGCCTCCTAAAACACACACGCATTCACTACACGCATGCATCTTTCACACAGGGGATGCCGTCCTTAAATGACCATAGCTGTTGATACGACGTTTAACAGTAATAAACAAAATTCCCAGAAGAAGAATTAAAATGTTTTCTTTTGTATATCAGACATGTGTAATGGGTTACCATATATAGTCACCAAAATGGTGAATAATATACTCTCACGAATAACAGAGAGCTTGATTCATATTGATGAGGCTATTGGATATTTTGCCTGATATATTTTACAAATACAGATGAAAAAATGTAAATAATATGCCGTATCGTCAACAAACACGAAGAAATCAAAACTCAAAGTAGAAAGGAAAGAAAAACAACAGGAACCCGGCGGTAAATGTTGAATACTGGTGAATATAACGGACCATTTCAAAACAATCCTGATACTTAAAAAAGGCCCTGAAGAAGAGACTCGACTGCGACATCAACAGGGGGAGCTGATATCCCACTTTTGAAAATAAAAACGTTATTGGTCGTAAATTAAAGTCTCTCCTTTGTAATAAAGGTTGGCGGTAGGATGACCATTATTGTCAATAAATGAAGATGTTTTCTTTCTAGACGAAATGAGGTGAAAGTAAATATCAGAGTTCTTGTTATTCAAAGACACAGAATTATCGATATATAGAAAAATAAAACAAAGGATAAGGATCACGTTCTATGACTTTGTATAGCCTTACAGAATCAAAACAAGATCGATCAGAAGTGGAAAACAGGAAGTTCTTATCAGAACCAGATGTTGGTGCCGACATAGATACCGATCATTATAACGATAGATAAGACTCAATCTGTATTTAGATATGTTATCAATGTGATGGTTAAAAATGCCTCATTTCTTCATACAATAGAGTTCGAATAATGGTTTGACATTCCTGATGGTTTTAAGAGTATTTTAATATGCGTTTTTTAGGTTAAAATACAAAGACGGTAATGCCACAAGTTTGAGAAGTGATATATTAATTACCGTAGGGGTTGATAGAACTTTACCTACTTGTTATAGTTACAGTAATATCCGGTAACGTTAGGGATTGTTTCCAGTGTTCCAGTTATGAACCATCCATTTATCTGCTACTACATGTAACTCGACTAGATATATTTCTAGAATAACTGTAAGAAAA